TGCACAAATCTGCACTAACCATTCAGTCTATTTGCAGAGTTTTTTTTTTTTGACGTGGGTGGGGTGTCAGCTTCACGCAGCTGCGCACGAGTCCTATCATGAAAAAAGGTTCATTGTGCGACCTGAGTAACGCGCAGTAACGGGGTGTCTGCAATGGTAACTGCGTTATAGTTACAGTCAAAGTAATTAGTTAGATTACTCGTTACTAAAACAAGGTAACGGCGTTAGTAACGCCGTTACTTTCAACGCCGTTAGTCCCATCACTGTTGAATAGTGAGGTGGTGTTTATAGTCTAGTCAATGTTATCTGTGATGTGCACCCCTCAGAATTTGGTGCTGCTGACCACCTCTATAGCTGAGCTGTTGATGAGCAGTGGAACGTGGTTAGGCTGGTTCTTCCTGAAGTTGACTATGAACTTTGTTTTCTCCACATTCAGGATTAGGCTGTTATCTTTGCACCAGCCCACCAGCTGCTCCACCTCCTCGCTGTAGTCCAGGTCATTGATGTCTCTGATGAGACCCACCACTGTGGTGTGGTCTGCAAACTTAACGACGTAATTGGTGGTGAACCTGGGGACGCAGTTGTGTGTCATCAGGGTGAACAGCAGGGGGCTCAGGACGCAGCCCTGAGGGGAGCCTGTGCTTACAGTAATGACATCAGAGGTGTTCTGTCCAACCCGGACTGACTGAGGTCTGTCTGTGACGGATTCTAGCACCCAATTGCAGAGGGGTGTATTGAAGCCCACTTGTTCCAGTTTTCATATCAGATGCTCTGGGATGAGGATGTTGAAAGCTGAGCTGAAGTCCAGGAACAGCATCTGAATGTGGGTGTTCTTCTCCTCCAGGTGTGCTAGGCCTGAATAAATTCACTATGTAAAATAAACGCAAAAGACCACTAGTTGAAATACAATGGTACCTTTATTAGCTACTAATCACACAGAGTTATTATATCTAATAACTAGATAGGCACTAAACACTACTGACACAAATATCACAAATAAACAAATGCAAGGGGAAAAGGTGTTTAAGAGTCCTTTGAAGAGTCTCTGAGGAATGTTTGAGTTTTAAGGCTTAGTGCATTAAAAGTGTCCTTTAAAATAGTAGCACATTAATGTGAATAAACCCTGACACACAAATGTTAGATGGAGTCAAAACAGAGCAGGTTCATTCGGTTGTATGGTGAAAAATAAATAATAATTCAGAAATGCATTAAAATGTGATGAGGCTGAAAGAGAAAGGGTTAGATTAGTTGAACCCAGGAGGTCTGGTCCAGGTGGGTGCAGCTGAAACAAAGTAAAGGTTAAAGTTCACACCGTGGTCTCTACAATGTGGGTCGACATGAGGTAGCTGGCAGCTAACAAGGCTAGCCACGGTAGCACTGTGTTCAGACCCATGCTGCTTGTTCAGTCTGTTCAGTGAGCATTAGCATTCAGTTAAAACCACTGGTGGCTGGTGGAGTTTTATCCAGTGGGGGCTACACATTCAAAATAGACATATACCAAAAACTAATCAACCAAACAAGTTATCACATCATTAGATTTATATGAATGCCAACAACAAAAAACATTATTGAAAACACTTTATAAAAACAAAACATAATTTCATCTATAGGTTTACTTTTTTTACATAAATGTTGCCCTTCTGAGGCTTTGTGAAGGCAAATCTGTGTTTGGCATGCTCCAATATGGTGTTACAAACCTAAAAAAAAATAATGTATCAGTTTAATAATGAAGAAGCTATCAGTCAGCTCTATACTTTTTAATATATATAAAAAAATACATTTTCTGAGAATGTGTTTATTTAACAACTACCGTATGTAAATTAACAAACATCTAGAAAATGTACACTATATTATATATTATTTTCCATGTGAATTCCAGATTGTTCATGCTTTTTGCCTTTTCTAAAAAGGTGCTTTAAATCAGTCCTACATGTCTTTATCCACGCTGGGCCAGATGCTGACGTCTGAAAAAGGAAGCAGGGAAAGCAGAATAAAGGGTTAGCTTCGCTACATGAAGTTAGCCAAGCCTCTGTGCTAAACCAGATCCTGGAAAAGGAAGTTTCTTGTGCCATTTCTCTCTCTCTTTCTTTCTCTCTCTCTCCAACTCCCACGACTTGACCTTCCAATCACCCACAAAATGTCTGCGCTGTGGCAGGAGGTGGTGAACAAATACACCTCATGTCACCTCAGGTCGCTGCTTTGCTGCGCCCTGGGCCGTCCTATAAGTTTGTATTGCA